TAAAATAAAAAAAAAGATAAAGGCAAACAAAAATGTTCTAGCAATGAAATTATTTCTACAGTTGAAAATATGAAAGCTTTTTTTTTTCTTTTGAAACTCCAAGTTCAATAGAGCAGTTTGGTTGCACTCAAATGTGGGGGATCATGAATGCCCCATAAGACATTTCCTTTCCAATTCTGTTACACCAGGTCAACATGCTCTTGGGGTAAAAAACAAGCCCTGATCTAGGCCTGCCGGAGGCTTTTGTCCTGAGCTGGTACAGTTGGCATACGGTCTCTGCCCCCATCTCCCCCAGTGAAGCTTGTTAGAACTGGCCCCTTCCTCATCCCAGGGACTGGTGACCAGCCCAGTGTCTGTGGACCATCAGCTGCTCTCTGCCAGAGCGGCAACATGGCCTAGTCCTGGCCTGTCTTTGCACTTGTTTAGAGACAAGATGCCTCAAGTGAGGGCCAGGGAGAAGGGGAAGGCTCTGGGGGTAAGAAGCTATCTCCTGGAGTAGGGATAATCACCCTCCAGCAGAACCCTTGAGGGAAGCAGGAACCGTTTTTTTTTTTTTAAGATTTTATTTATTTATTTGAGAGAGAGAATGGGAGAGAGAGAGAGCATGAGAGGGGGGAGGGTCAGAGGGAGAAGCAGATTCCCTGCTGAGCAGGGAGCCCAATGCGGACTCGATCCAGGGTCTCCAGGATCATGACCTGAGCCGAAGGCAGCCGCTTAACCAACTGAGCCACCCGGGCGCCCCGCAGGAACCAGTTTTGACATGCATATTTTCATCTTAGAGATGCACAGTGGGGACACAGAACAGGCCAGTGTGCTCAGGCTCTCCAAGCAAGGACGTGGCCGCACCCAGCGTCCACTCTAAACTGCGCTCACCACTACCCGGCCTGTGGCATCCATTAAACCCCAGAGAGCTTATGTGACCTCACCTCCTGACCCAGATGCAGTGTGAAATGGCCAGTTCTCATTTGGGGCATCCGCCCTCCCTACTCACTTTAGCAAAGATAGCCCTTTACAGGGATTAATGCAACCTTTGGCTTAGCTGAGCAGATGACAGGACACTTGGGATTTTTCACAATCTACCTGGCAAAAGAGCAAATCTTGTCACACAGTACCATATGCATGAATGTTTCTGTGTTGACATTGTTTGACCTTATTTTAAACATTGACTCAACACGTGCACATTGCACAAGAGTAAAACGGAAGAAGCTGCTCGGAGCTCTGAGCTCAAAGATCTGGAACTGTCTATAGCCCTCTAGTGAGCCTTTCTAGGGGGAAAAACAAATGTGTTCCCTTTAAGGCAAATCCCCTCCAGCCCTACAACCAGCAGCCGGCCTCAGAGAGCCCTGCCTCAGGACACGGTGCTGGGCCTAGTAAGTCATCCGTTTGGACAATTTTCTATATATGGAGTCGGAGGTCATGGAGAACGGATGTGTCTTTGTTCTCCAAGCACTGCCAACGGCGGTTTCCCCAGACCGCGTGGGGGTCCGTTCACCCCGGGGAGTGACAGATGGACCCGCAGGTTCGGGCGCCCGGGCTGCGGGGCCGCGGCGGGAAGAGGAGAGGTGCAGAGCGCCCTGCGAAGGCTCACGGAGCCCCTCGGATTTTGTTTCATTTTCCAGAAATGTTTGCTAATTAACAAAAGTTTTGTTCGGCACAGAAGAGCATTATGCCAACGTGTGTACGTGGCTGTTTTAAGGAAGGACACCATAACGACGCCCCCCAGCTAGAAAACAGCCCAGCAGGGCAGCGGGGCAGAACAGAGGGCAGGCGCCCGAGCGGCTGGGGCGCCCGCACCCTCTGCGGGGCGCAGCGCAGCCGTGGTCCGCGGGGCGCGTCAGGCGTGCGTCGCCCA